AATTTCTGCCCTTACTTTATTTATTTTCCTTATTCTTAGTATACTTCTGTCCATTGATCTTTGTGTTATCCTTACTTTTTCTTTCACTATATTTGTTTAAACCCATGTCTGGCATCCGTACATAAGCTAGGCAGAAGACACGTATCAATTACAGTATAATCTCCTGTATAATCTCCTTTTATAATTTCCTTTAAAGACCAAAATTAGTTCCATGTTATTTTACATCTTCTTTCTACTTCTTTTTCATTATTAGTTCACTGAAAGACACCTGTTTTCCGAGATATATGTGGTTATCTACGTATTCAATATTGTTGCCATTTGTACTTATAGGATTCTTTTGACTATTCGTGTTTATCTTAGTTTTGGCAGCGTTCATCTCTAGTCTAACTCTAGTATTTTCCTGGTCCAGCGAGTGTATCATAGTTTCGAGTTATCTAGATGTTTCAGCAAGTAAACTGGGGTAAATGGCTAAGGCAAACGCCACCTACACTCACAGTTTCTGAAATACATTCTCTAGGACAGCAATAAATACATTGGGTGACAGAGGGTTGCCTTGTCTTACTCCCCGTTCAATTCCTATTTTTTTCTCCTCTTCATCAACCAGAGGAGGAATCGATATATAGAAATCGATAAATATTTTTTAATCCATAAAATGAATCCAGACATGCCCCTTAAATAAGTAGATGGACTTTGATGACTTTGGCTTTTTAAAAGTTGACGATACCTGCATCACGAGGTCAACCACTTCAGCCAAAGTAACAACATGAGACATTAATTCTTCTTATTTTGTTAATAAAATGAAGTTAATTTTTTTAGTATTAAATTAGGAATAAATATTTTGTTATCTTCATTGTAGGTACTACGTAATTGCAACCACTTAATCAACTTTCAGGAGTTTTATTAAATTAAGTAGACATATCACATGAAAAACTTTAAAGGCGGATATAGTTCTTAATGTTACGCGACATTAGAAACAGAGCCGCGTTCGTCTCCGGCCGGCTCTACCACCTAACCAATGCGTCAAGCATAATGCCATTAAGACACAAATTATTATTACATAAGGCTGTGTAAGACCTGACCATGTCCTACGCGTGCATGATTTACGCCCACATAAACCCTACTCGCTGGTACAAGTTGCAAATAGTACAAAATAAGTTCATCCGCCGTGCAACCGATGCACAGTGGTATCTACGCAACGTCGACCTGCACAGTGACTGCAGACTCCCGACGATTCGCGAACATTTTAAAGATCTCACCAAACGGTTCTTTGACAGAGGCGAATATCATCCCAACCCTCTGGTGGTAAGCGCAGCGTATTACCAACCCGACATTAACGCGAACGTCAACAAGCGTCGCCCGCGAAACGTCCTCATCGACCCAGTCGAGGAAGGGGAGTTAAGTACGTCGGACCCACCGTCGGGAGTCCCGCCAAATAACACTACACACTCAGTTAGTGCATCAACAAACACCATAGCTCGTCTTCGCCTTCGACGACGGCGAAACCAACACAACAGCTCGAAGAAAGAGTTGATATTGCATTGGTGCAATGTTTAAGTACCGACTTTATCTAAACATCGCACCAATTTAGAAAACATACATATAAAGCACCTGCTTTATATGTATGTTTTCAAAATTGTGAGACGCAAAATTAAGGTAACTTTATTTGATTACTCTTGGGAAACCGGGTTGATCATATAATTATAGATCTACTACTGAGTTAATTTCAAAAACAAATCACGAAGATTAGTATGCTCTTTAGGTATTTCATGTTTACACATTATATACTTATTATGATTTTTGTTTTAAATTTAGAATTTCAACTTTATTTGTAAGTGATTTAACTCGATTATGCTTTCATATTGTGTCGCCTCCGTTGAGTTCTGTCGAGAAAAACCATTTGTTTTAGCAATCATGTCATTTAATTAAACGAATTTATCCATAAATATTAAACGAATCGATGAAACGGCCAGTTCGCTTAACGTTGGTACCTAAATTGAATACGTGATGGCTAGAATCTTTTGTTTTACGGTTGCTGTCCAGGTGTCTTTGGCACTACAGGAAAAAAAGTCATTTTGCTTTTTTTTTTTTACAGAATTTTGTGTAGAATATCAATGGCAATCAATTTATGTAATTTAAGTAATGGAAAACAATTAGCAACAAGTAGAGAGGAAATTAGTTTTATAATAGTATGTGTTTTGTAATAGTATGTAATTAGTATGTTATACTAATACTATAAATTATTTCTAGAGGAATCGGAACGCGTTCAAAAATCGTTTGACAGGTTACACAGACATAGTTGACAGGTTGACAGGTACAGTTTGTATTGGAAAATAAAATTGTTGCTATTTCGAATTTCCATGTAATTTTTCCATAATTTCTCATCGTTTAAACCTTCCCTGGACTGCCACAAATATTTCAAAACCAAAATTAGCCAAATCGGTCCAGCCGTTCTCGAGTTTTAGCGAGACTAACGAACAGCAATCCATTTTTATATATAAGATAAGAAGAAATATAGATTAACAATTGCATAATCATTCAATATAATTTAAAATTTCAAAGATATATTTCACTGTTGGTATATACAACTAAAGGGAGACAATTATTTACTCTTATCTATAACAATGGATATAGAAGTGAAGTAGGTAGGTCCTTAATTCAAAAAAATAAAATATTTTTGAAATTATACACGTGATATATCTCTTTTTGTTAGAAAATTATCCAAAAAATAGGTATAAATAGGTTTAGTAAAAATATTAAATTGCAAAATCTGTTTCCGTAACGACGTAACTTCAAATTCGGTATTCAAATAGGTAGCGTTTAATTTTATGAAATGCAGAAGAGCTTTAGTGACAATAATACTCAAAAGATTGTCTGTTCTTTGCCAACAAAAATGAGGATAACTAAGCTAGACCGGCTGTTATTTTACAGTAAACTCTCCGTAGTGTGGACTCACTAGATGGAGTGGACCTGTGCAAAACGTGCTTCGTGGAAGTCTGTAGGGGGGGGGGGGGGGGGGGGGTTATGTTGAACAGAATAATAGTAGGTTCGAACAGGCTGAAATAATTACGATGAAACTATTGATATTTCGAAATATTCAGTTGCTAAAGTTAAAGAACTTCATAGTAGATTTATTTAACGATGTTTTAATATTATATACTGAACACGTTTGATCAGTAAACGAAGAGATTTGCGAGGCGACGCGGTCTCAAAACAAATAGTCTTCTACGTTTAATACGAATGTATGTAAGCAGAATTTTGGCTGTTAGCCAGCTTCCGTGGCCTAAATGCAAAACGAATTCGGCCGTATTGTTGTCAGTCAGTATTACGTATTAAATTATATTTGCACTTCAATTAACACAGTTGTTTCTCATACACACATTCTAAAAGCGGATGTTAATCTAAACCTATGTATATGTATGTATGTCTTAAGGCGACATAAGCAAATGTTCTATATTTGATTAGTAGTTTTGACTTTTTTTATACTTCTTTTGTTATTGTTTTACTAATAATTTGAAAACTTTTTGGTTAAAATGACAGCAAATTAAATATAAATTAAGGTATTTTTTTCATAATTCGGGATAGGTACTTTGTCCAACCATCCGTTTCTTTGTTTTCATTTTTTTAATTATTTTTAGGCGAAAACTAATCTATTTCATTAATTTCAAAATCTCTAGGTGAATCTTACTGATTCAATCGTTTTATTGAATAAAATATATCTTATAATATTCCGTCTCGTATCAAGTCAAGTCAACAAAAACAAATCCCTAGATTGCCCCCAATAAGCTTCAGGGGATGAGCAAAAAGGAAACATACGATTTGTACACTCAGAATAGGTTTATAGTTCGATATTTGTGTTTTTTACCTGAACCCTAAATTTATTGAAATATTGGAAGCTACGCAAAATTATGTCGAACCCAGTGGATCTATGATAATTCTGTAAGCTACAATACAATGTACTGCTGGTATTGTAGGCTATATGGAAAAACGAAGTTAATGCTTACATATACTTTTATTATTTTATTACATGCCTAAGTATTTGGCAATTTTTCTGCAAATAAAGTTATACTATGTAATCTTTTATGGTTAATTAATATAAATTAGAGTATTAAAAGTTCTTTAGTTCATTATAATCGTATTCAAGCGAAGTGTGCAATTACTGACATATTTTACTTTTCCATGCTTCCATTCCAGTGGCCTTAAAATGTAAGTATGGAAATCTCCCTTATTTTAAAATTTCTATTAAGTTATTTCTACTGAAAACAAAAAAAAAATGCCTAATGAAGAAATCCATGGGATAATCTAGAATTGTGTAAAACGGTGAAACTTATTTTTCCCCGCAACGACACTAACGTATTAAATATTTGCACGGATAGCCTAAATGTACATAAATAGTATGGTATTTGGAATACTGTGGCGAGAGAAATGGCCGTTTCCAGAAGTTGTTTAAAGCGCAGACATAAACGCTTCGCAACACTGTAAAAAGCCATCCAGAACTATTGTGTAAAATTCGAATAAATTTGTGATAAATGTTTCGCAGCGACTGTCTTTCCTGAGCATTTTCATTTAAATTCGCACTAAAACCATGCTCATAACATACATTTTTATTGTACGAAGCTGTCGTACGAAAGTAATAAAACTGAGTTAAATTATTCCGTTCATTATACTATAATTTAGCAGTACAAATATTCTCCAATTAGAATGTAGTTGTATTGTTATGTTATCTTAATATTAAACTTTTAAAACATAAATAATATGTGCATATATAATTACTAGTGACCCGCCTCGGCTTCGCACGGGTGCAATGTATTATACATACAGGGAGGCTTTTCTAAGTGTATCCATCTTTTTTTATTAAATTCTAGACATAAGTAGTGTTATAAAAAAATGATAAATATTTAAAATCACTCATAATTCATTAATTACATTCATTTGAACTTATCTCAAAAAGTGCGTGATTTATGGGCAACTCTTTATTTTACGCGCGATCATTGATAACTAACATGCACACAAGTGCGTTTCAAAAGTATACGACGCATTTGTGATGACTTTCGCATTGTCAACAAGTTCTGTTTTTTAGGGAATAGAATGGAAATTTTTGGCATGGCAAAAAAAAGTGTGTTTTTATTTTAATAAACGATTATACTACCGAATCTGAACCTCCTGTGTGAATTTGGGCACCTGTAGATAAGCCACCTTGTATAAACCTTCCTCGTGAATCACTCTATCTAGTAAAAAAAACCGCATCAAGATCCGTTGCGTAGTTTAAAAGATCTAAGCATACATAGGGACAGACATACGGCGGGACGACTTTGTTTCATACTATGTTAAGATACTCCATCTCGAACGTTCTAGACACGGACAACCAACGGGTGATTATCCACGTAAAGGATGTTAACGACGAGCCCCCCTACTTCATCAACCGGCCACTGCCGATGCAGACCGTGGTGCAGCTCAACGCGGCGCCCAACACCCCGGTCTTCACCCTCCAGGCCCGAGACCCGGACACGGACCACAACATTCACTACTTCATCGTGAGGGACCGCACTGGCGGCCGGTTCGAAGTGGACGAAAGGTCGGGCGTCGTGCGCACACGGGGAACGGATCCGTTCCAATTGGACATGGAGTACGTCCTGTACGTGAAGGCAGAAGACCAGGTGAGGCGATTACTTGAAAGTTGGTCAATTTATCGATTGTTTCAGGACTTGTTTTTGCGATGATCTCATATTGGAGGTCTTCATTTCTCTTATCTACATTAGAAATTACGACACAAAAATACATTTATGCTCTTTTACTTTTGGTTTACTTTAACTTTCTTATTATTTCTTGACAACCCGATGGTATCTCAATATTCCTATTATTTTCATTGTGTGCATAATAAATGTTAAATATATTGTTTAAGACGAAAATAGTCTTTTATATAAAAAAAACAAATATTGTTACCATTCTACTAGAAGTACTAATATATCGAAATCGCAACTAATATTATTTTAATTCATTTGGATAATCTGACAATAAATCTATTTTATTTAACTCATAGTGGCAATCGGTGTCGTTTTCAAATAGAATACGAAATGAGGGAGACGGCAATTTATTGCAGTTACATAGATACTGTCTGAACACATCTTCGGGTTATTTATAGAAACACTGTTAGTGTTCAGTTAATTGGTTCAAATAATACAGAAGTCCTTTTAAGAACAGCGATGCAGTCAGCATTAATACATAACACGTAACTACTTGATTGATATTCAACCAGGACCTAATTCTTTATCTCGCCTGTTTATTTGGCTATGTAAAAATTTAATTTCAAGTATTTATGCAAAATAAAATATGGACTGTTTTATTTTCCGCAGTGCATAGCCCTCAACTATACAACTAGTAAAATAAAAAAATCCCCAAACTCGGCCTATAAATGTCGAGTTATAAATTGACATATATTTTGTTATTATGTAATTATAAAATTACCTTTATTGTAGCGTTTAGTAATGAAACAATTTTCCAAATCAGTCCATCAGATACTATGGCATAAACACACAACTCTGGTGCAGTGGATAGTGAACATGTCTCTTACGCTAACTGGAAAAATATTGTGCGATAGATATCGTGCTTTTCTAGTGTATGGGTACCTGTATATTTATAGCTTGTTTAGGACTAAATATGTGTAATGTCCGCGAAATGTTTATTATTTATCTACGATAATTCACTTTTTAAACTAATATGTCGTTATAAAAGTAGTCGTTATAGAAGAAATAAATATTTTTCAGAGTGGCCGCGTCGACGAGAGGAGATTCCAGTCAACGCCCGAAGAGAGGCTTAGCATCGTGGGCGGCAAACGCGCGCCCCAGTTTTATCTCCCCAACTACGAGGCGGAGATCGCGGAGAACCAAAAGAAAGATTCCGAGTAAGTGAAGTTCTAAATGTGATGTTTACCGGTTTTCCGCTTTTGTCTCGCGTTTGTTGTTCACAAATTCGTTTGAGCTCCACCACAAGCTTAATAATCAGATGGACGTATTTAAATAATACGTATTTTAACAATACCGTATTTACCTTATCACACATCGTATATATTAGGCACGCCCGTGTTCCATGTTTATCGTTCCCAGCAAACGATTGAATTCTCTGCAACAATGGGATGGAGGCTTCACTCAAAGTGGAAATGAGCTTGTGTTTTGTACAATTGAAGATAGAATTGCTTAAATAACTAAAATGCTACCTTTTTTGTGGGTCCAAGGGTGGTGGAGCTTTACTAAGTCCTTAGAAATTACGGCGAAATCATTCGATAAAGATAAAGACTTCATGGACTCACACCTAGATTTAAAAGAAATCGTATATGTTTTCTTATCAACGTCCTATTTCTTTTTCAGCATCATATCCGTTAAAGCGAAGTCTTTCGCGGATCGCGAAATCCGGTACACTTTGAAAGCACAGGGCCAGGGAGCGGGCACCTTTAACATCGGACCGACTTCTGGCATCGTGAAGCTGGCGAAAGAGCTGGATTTCGAAGATCTTCGTCAGCCGCACGTTTACTCCTTGGTCGTCACCGCTACTGAAGACTCTGGCGGCTTCTCCACTTCCGTTGAGGTGAATAAACAATATTTGTGCATCATCAATGACTTGACTGTGGTAGAGCCAAGTAACAATCTACGCTGTTGCACGAATGGACAGGTCTGTCCGGGTAAGTACCATGACCTCACAGAACGCGCGTGAAGTGGAAGCGTTATACTTCTGCGTTTCGTCTGGCGAGTGAGGTAGCCGCGGCCTACGTTATTAAAAGGTGGAAATGCATCTTCAATCCTAAAGTTGTTGCAACTGTCAATGGGCGGCGGTTATTATTATCAATTTTACCGCCAGCTCGCTTGCCATCTTCTTACATAATACATAATAAAATAAAATTATCATTTCAGCCTGTTTAAGTCAACCTTACGGGCCAATACATACGGGAAACCTACCTATATCAATTATGTTATGAACATGCCGAATTGAATATTTTGATTATTATTACAAAAATGACTTGAATTTAACATGCAACTTATGTTCGTATGAGAACGTACGAACGTAAGTTGTTAATTTAAAAATTTAAATCAAACTGTTCGTAGTTTGCAGATTTTATCACGTTTTTGAATTAAAATTCTTGAACGGACCGGGAATTTAAAAATGCAATGAAATGTGAAAAAATCCACAAACTAAATTTTGGATTATTATGGTTGTTGGATTTAAATTATTATGGTTCGGTTGTGGGTCATCAAAAACCATGAATCATAAAAACAACTAAATAATCACTCTTAGTTCTCTTATTCCTACCACCGTATTATGGACAAGATAAAGGCTGCTCCAAAATCTTACCTCATTATTATAATAAACATTACAATGATATATATCATCAGATCAATAATAAAAAAATGCCCATTATATTGATCCAAGTTCTTGATAGACTTGTATTATAACAACGTCCATTTATTTTTCCAGTTGACCATCCGTGTTACCGACGTAAATGACAACGCTCCCAAGTTCGAGCTTCCTGATTATCAAGCGCATAACGTAGACGAAGACATCGCCAAAGGCACCAGTATCCTGAAAGTGAAGGCCATGGACGCGGATTCTGGGAAGAATGCCGAGATAGAATATTTGGTTTCAGGTAAACATTTGTAAATTCAATTGAATTCTCATAGCCCTTATACATAGCACTAATCTTCGTTGAAATTGTCTATCACACTTAAAGTTTAAGTTGCTATTTCTTGTTCCTTTTAATTTGTTTTTATAAAACAAAATTTAGTAAAATTCGAGATATGTTTATTCAATTTAGGCTTGTTTCGAAACTTACAAAAACTGGATAGAATATCATTAGGAAAAAAAAATAAATTTAACATTTTTATTCAGGGAGGCTTTTCTAAGTGTATCCATTTTTTTTATTAAATTCTAGACAATAATGTTATATAAAAATGATAAAATTTATAAAATCACTCGTAATTAATTAATTACATACATTTGGACTTATCTCCAAATGTGCGTGATTTAGGGGCAACTCATTTATTTTACGCGCGATCATTCATAACTAACAGGTACACAAGTTCGTTTTAAAAGTATACGACGCATTTATGAATGACTATCGCATTGTCCACAAGTTCTGTTTTTAGGGAATGTAATAGGAATTTTTAGAAAAACCACCCTGTACACAGGGTGGCTTTTGTAAAGGTATCCAAATTCATACAGGAGATTCAGACTCGGTAGTATAATCGTTTATGGAAATAAAAACAACCTTTTTTTTTTCAAAAAACTTGCCATTCCATTCCCTAGTCATTCATAAATGCATCGTATACTTTTGAAATGAATTGTGCGTGTTGGTTAGGAATGATCGCGCGTAAAATAAATGAATTGCCCATAAATCATGCACTTTTTGAGATAAGACCAAATGAATGTATCCAATTAATCACGAGTAATTTTAAATATTTATAATTTTTTATATAATATTAATTATGTTTAGAATTTAATAAAAAAAAGTGAATACACTTAGAAAATCCTCCCTGTATATTTTTATTGATAATGACAAAGGAGGTATATTTGATTATATGTTATTGCAATTCAAGACATCTAAGGCAACAATGGTGTCAAACTACATATTATATCTTTTATAATTTTTGATAAAGCCTCTTACACATTGTATTTAAATGATTCCAGACGATCACTTCGCTGTTGATAACAACGGGATCATAACGAACAACAAACAACTCGACGCCGATAACAACAACGCGTATTACGAATTCGTCGTCACTGCCAAGGACAGAGGGGAGCCCGCGAAGACAGGAACCGCCACAGTCAGAGTTTACACTAAGAACAAGAACGACGAGGAACCGAAATTCTCGCAGCAAGTGTACACTCCGAACGTAGACGAAAACGCTGGGCCGAACACTTTAGTGACGACTGTTGTAGCTTCGGACAAAGACGGGGACAACGTTCGCTTCGGCTTTGTCGGTGGCGGTACCAGCTCGGGGCAATTTGTCATCGAAGAGATCACCGGCGTAATTCGTCTGCACAATAAGCCCATCTCGCTCGATAGGGATAAGTACGAGCTTAACGTAACAGCAATGGACGATGGCGCGTGCTGCGTCAACGGAGACACGACCATCCACACGTCAACGGCGGTGGTTGTCGTCTTCATAACGGACGTGAACGATAACAAACCCATTTTCAAAGATTGCCCGACCTACTTCCCCAAAGTCGAAGAAGGCGCGCCGAACGGCAGCCCAGTGATAAAAGTCCACGCGACCGACGAGGACAAAGGTGTTAACGGTCAAGTCAAGTATTCGATTGTTCAACAGCCCAATCAAAAGGGGACCAAGTTTACTGTGGACGAGGAAACAGGAGAAGTATCTACAAATAAGGTATTCGACAGAGAGGGCGACGATGGGAAGTTTGTATCGGTGACTGTGAAAGCCACTGATCAGGGTGAGCCATCCTTGGAGGGCGTTTGTTCGTTTACAGTTGAAATAACCGACGTAAATGACAATCCACCACTATTCGACCGACAAGTAAGTATTTCAATTTTTTTATACTATTTTATTCGCAGCACAGATTCGCATGATTGCACTTATATAAATACGCTTTTAATAATCATTTATATTTGGATATTATGCGGTACGGTAAACAAATATTCTATCAACAATCCGAATTATGCATTGCAGAAATATGTGGAGAATGTTAAACAAGATGCTAGCATAGGCACTAATATATTGAGAGTTTCCGCATCCGACGAAGATGCGGATAACAACGGTGCGATTGTTTACACCCTAAGCGCTCCATACAATCCTGCCGATATAGAATATTTCGAGATTCAACCCGAATCTGGTTGGATCGTGCTTAAGAAGCCGCTGGACGTAAGTATACATTCAAAATCCACCGGTCACTAAAGTGAAATGATAAGAGCGACGTATGAATGCGATCAACCTAACCATGAAGTTTGGTGGATGAGTGCTACCTACAGACCCTAGGATTCAATTGGCACACACTTTAAGTTTGTTTACATGTAAATAGTTCTAAATTGTCCGCCGCTGTAAATTGCTGTGAGGGGGGTTTAATCCTGGCTGTGAGGAGTAGTTGTCCATTGAACGGCGGCTCGCGTGGGGGCGCTGAGGTGCTCGGGCCGTGGGCCGTCGCGCCGGGGGCTTGTTCTTCTTACAGCACAATTAGTTTCAGTTGCCGCCAGCGCCGGCTCCGCACTAATCTTCGTTGAGATTAATTTCCGCAGCACTATCTTGCATTAACTATTATCCTAAAGATAATTGCGACCTGTGTAAAAATATTCTATATATATATATATATCTATATAAAATCAACAGAAAATACATACTACTATTACTACTACTACTACTACTGTAAATATTTTCACCATTGATTGAGACTTGTTTAGTTCTAAAACATGTACAGTTTCTGTAAGCGCACATTTGTATATTCCGCACAGAATAGTTTTGGAATTTATTTTATCGTAATTACATTCTCGGTTGATTGATTTGTGAGGCTTACTACGCTTTTAAACATACCTTCCAGTATTATATGTACGTACATGTTTTGTTACTAATCTGCAGTTTTGTTTTTGTGTTCCGCGAGTCTATTCCTCGCGTGGGGCGGTTCGATGTCCACCCCTTCATTTGTCACCGCTGAGCTAGACGACAACTCAATTTTCAGAACGAACTGTTTGTTCACCTGTGTATATCTTAATTTAACCATCATATAACTATGGATTTTTTACAGGGCACCGGTATTGATATGATTTGTATTAATGTTAGTTTATAACCGAAATGGTCAGATTGCCCGCCGGGCAGTTTGGCCATTTAGCCAGTTGTGACATATTCCTTCTGTGAAAGGGGCAACGTTCTCAAAATCAAATTTTGTACAGTTAACCGTAACGTCCATCGTTTGTAATATATTCATTATAATGAGTGTCGTTTCGTTGTAGTCATTAAGAGGTCATTAAACATTGTTATGACAACCTGACCTTTCCGCCATGTCTTGTATGCAGAGCTGCATGCATTTGCCTGCTTTTCCTTAAGTTTTTATTTAATTTTAAATTAGTTTAGTTTTTATTGTAAAAAAGTATTATAATGTACAGTTTATATTTTTCCTTATTGTACATACTAAAATGTATAATACAGTAAACATTATTATTTCCAATTTATTTTCTTGCACCATCTAATATTGGCTAAATGAACAATCTTACTGTAAGTACGTACGAAAGGGGCTCGGAAGTGGCTGCAGATGACGTGAGTGGACTCAATTCTTATTACGTAGTGCAACCTCTGCAATTATTCTATTGTTTTAGTTTGGCTTAATGGATGTGTGGGCGATGAACGTCTGTTATTTTTTTTTTTCGTTTCGTTATTTATTACAAATTAATTACAGCCAATAGGTACATTATGAAAGTGGATATTTGTTTTTTAATTGTTTTAATTATTTCTTAGCCATGAGTACTTATGTGTTTATATTTGAGTTGTGTTATGTTTTTTTTGTCCCCGCTGACCTCTGACCCGTGTATCTGTAGCGGGACAGGTATCGACTGCGCGTGCGTGCCTCCGACAGAGGCGACCCGCCCTCCTCTGCAGACGTGGACGTTGAATTAGACGTGGTAGACAGGAACAATAAGCCCCCCATCTGGGACATGTCCACGTATGGCCCCGTTCACATCAAAGAGAATGTCACAGTGGGTACCGTAGTGACCAGTGTGAAAGCAAGGTTGGTATAAGGCGCAGCGGGCTCACGGGCCCGCCGCTCCCCCACTCCTTAACACTACTAACGACGTGGTTTTGTCTGTTTCCATCGACTCTTTCTCCAATAGCGAGAAACGTACAAGTTGGAGGCTATGGCTCAAGACAAGGGCTTCCCGCCCTTGTCCAGAACCGTGGAGGTCCAGATAGACGTAGTGGATCGCGCGAACAATCCCCCAGTGTGGGACCACACAGAATACGGACCGATCTACATACGAGAGAATTTGCCCGTGGGTGCCAAAGTGGTATCTGTTAAAGCAAGGTGCGTTGCTAACTGTTCGGCACGGGCACCGCACGCAGCCCCGACACCTGCACGCAGTGTGCGACGCCGCGGCGCCCCGCCCCTCCGCCCCCAACCCCCGATCCGCTAACGGCCTCGTGTTTCATGCTTCCGCAATTGCCTACCCATCGCAAGTGTACTAGACAGGAGCTATGCGGAAGCCGACGCTGGTAGCGAATCGGACTGGGCGCAAGGTGGTGATGCGCCACGCGCGCCTACAACTGTCGTTATTATTTGCCTATCACCTGGTGATGAGTACTGTAACGTTATTGTCCGTAAATTTACAAACGCATCGTCACGATCCCATGCGTCCTAACTGTGATTCACCGGCGTGCATTTAGACGGGCTCACTGCTTACATGGAACGGGGTCACAGTCGTGAACGACGTTGCTTAAAAATATCACATTGAATATTTTCTACGATGTTTTTGAGCAATTCGTCAATTATTTTGTGATGTTTAGGTAGGTATTGGAGTAATGTAACATGCATGTAGGCTGTGATGTAAGTCAAATTATTGTCAGATTTATAACATATCGTTTACGAATCAAAATAGCATGTCAGTCAAACGATGAATGTTTTATTTTGTAGACGTAAATAATAAGTAATATTTGTTCATCATTTATCATTTAATTTATTTTCATCGTAGTGCTTTAAATAAAATTTTAGTTCAGACTCATTATGTTTAAAAGACGGATTTGCAATATAATGCAAAAACAAATCCAAGTGAACAAATAAAACAAGAAATTTATTAAAATAATATTTTGGTAATTATCAAATATTTTTAGAGGATATCTTTTATTAGAATATAGGTACTATTTCAGTTAATCAAAAACCTTCATGAATGTGCATTTTTTACTTAAGGAGCTATCAATGTACTTGTAATTTTTGTTTCTTTATAGTGCATCAATCACACTGAGTGTTGGCTGATGGCAAGCCTGGTTCACACCTCTATTGTCTATCTGTGCGTCCTAAAATACACACTTCAAACTTACCATGTTTAAAAGACGAAACCATACTAACTCACCTTACTAATCCATTATTGTGACTTTAGTGATGACTTTTCATATTCAATTATGACAGTTATTTATAGATTATAAATGTAATTCAATAAACATCTTTAATATTTTAAAGAAATCATAATAATAACATAAAGTTTACGACATAAAATTAAGCTGAGAAAATGAAAGATATAATATTAAAGTGTAACATCTTAACGCTTGCCAATGGAGTTATTAAGAAAATACGACGGAACTGGACAGGACGCGCGCCCTTGCTATCGCCGCCATCTTTCGAGCTATTTTGTAGCTGTTTGATATAAAATTACATGTATGTTTAAAAACGTCAAAACAGATTATATGGTTTATAGTTGTTTTTAGAAGTTAAACATTGTGATTACAAACTCATATCCGATATCATACTTAAATGTAGTATAAAAAAGAAAAATCAATATTTAACATTTTAAGAACAGCCTTAAATTATTGTGTTGATTTTTCTTTTTCACCCTTCTTTCTTTTTTGCAGTCTTAATCATTTCCTGAAATAGTTTTTGGTGAAATTAAAAACCAAATAAATTAAAACAAAATTCATTTGATAAGTACCTATGTTATAATGAAAGATATTGTAGTATATTGTGCCTTTTTTATTGTAATAACATGTTTTTGTCGTGGCATATAAAAAGTGGATGTAACGAAAAAATGTATATAGTTTGAATAGATATAGGGATACCTACCTAATATCATGGGATTATTTAATTTTAAAGATGGTTATCTAGAACTCAATTTAGTTGAAGTTAGACATTCTGCTCCATAAAGTTATATAGTTACTACTACTATTAGTTCTGTAATAAACTCAAATTCAAAATGCTTCTTATAAAATATTAGTACATTATAAAAAGTAAGATTAATATGAAATTCCTTTATGAATGCAACTCTGAAATTTTCACTCAAATTTTGTACGTTAAGATGTTACACTTTATCAGCCATTACTGTAGGACATTTTTTTTATTTTTCCATTTAATCAATATCATTCGTTTTATTTTGATTTTCCCCCAATCAGTGTTTGAATAGTTTTTATTCGTGTACTCTGAATGAGTAGATAATTTAGAATATTTGTTTCATCCCTGTTAAACTATTTTAGTAAAATTAAACAACGCATAAGATGTCGACACGTGCTTTCAATAGCAAAAAATTGTTTTCATACAGTTTTTTTTTCATCGATTCATTATATTTTCAGTTCCGGGATTGAAAATAACCCGACAGTGTTCTATCGGCTGATGCCCGGCTCTACCGCGCAAACGAACAAGTTTCACACGTTTTACTTACAACAGAGATCCGATAACGGATTCACTTGGGCTGATATAAAAGTCAATCATCCATTGGATTACGAAAGCATTAAGGAATACAACCTGACCATTCGTGTAGAGGTAAGATATCATTTTATTATAAGTTACGTTTCGTGGACTTTCTTATATTGAAAAGAAACTCCACAACATTGGTATAAATGTGTAAAATGTGTGCGGTATGGGAAACACTCTAGACGAAGCTATCCATTGCTTAAAAATGAAATAAAAAAACAAAGTAGTTAAAATACGTTGAGATTTTCGTCGGTGTGAAGATAAGACGTTTAGCTCAGTGGTTTAAGCGCCGGGCGCGTATGCCAATAGACGCAGGTTCATATGCCAGCAGATGTGAAACACTTTTCGTCCATTTTCTACAATCTTTTAAATCCACACTAAGGACAATAGCACTATAAAGCTTAATATCTTTTAAAAATATCTGTGTGCTTGTGTGTGTGTGTGTGTGCTTATTTACGTACGCACGTAAGAAATTATACTTCTTTGGCGTAACAAAATAAGTTATTCGGCGACATGAAGTCGATAAATCCCCCTTTAGTAATGTGTTAAATGTCACTATATTAAAGTTGAAAGGATTTGGCTAACTTCATAATGTTAATTTCATGTCGCTGTGCGCACGTAAGTCTGATTTGAAAAAAGCAAGCTGCAATCTAGACTATTATTCAATTTTTTATACTGAGAGCCATTATTAAGTGGAACAAACCCACCAATAGACGACACGTAGTAGGAGTTCATTTGAATGTGCATAGGTTCCCATATTAAACTTATCAATATCGGGAACGTGGTAATTGCCAGATTACCACGTTCTGAGATTCGTAAATAGTGTTATGACAACCATACAATTAACAAAAAACAAATATACAATTACAATTTTATTTACGTATACATATTTTATATTTTATTTATTTATTGCATTAGTATGTATATAAATATACAGTACATATATTATAAATATTTTAATTTAATATTTCTCATAATAATGTATTAATACATATTATATAATATAATTTATCCTACATAGCTAACACCTACACTTACTTTCACTAACTTTCCGTTTGGCTAGTAGAAAATGCCTATATGGCATAAAGCACGATTTTTTTACCAGTTAGTACAATAAAGTGTTCGAATAAAATAAATGAATAACCCTGGAGGTATATAACATGCACTTATTAAATAGCGCGTGTTGGGTCGCGATGATGGAAGTTAAAGTACTATAACACGTTCAATATGTATATAGCATGAGCGGGGCAAATTAAAATCTTAGTTGGTCGTAGTGATCGGAATTTAGCTATTAATATAAGTACACCGTTGATGTACGGAAACTTGGCTTACAAGTTTCCGTCAGTATGATCACATCATACGAGAAAGTTAATATGTTCATCATCATCATCATCATTTCAGCTTGTAGGCGTCCACTGCTGAACATAGGCCTCCTCTAGGGATTTCCACTTCGATCTGTTTGAAGCGACCTGCATCCAGCGAAGTCCCGCGACTTTGGACAGGTCGTCGGTCCATCTCGCGGGTGGTCGAGATGTAAATATGTTCATATACAGTTAATGCAATTTTGTACGGATCCCTCTAGAGTTTTGATAATATAATGTTAAATTGTAATTGTCCATTTTTTACCGTTAAATGTCCGTGAAACAATGTACATATATAAGAAATTAAATTTGGACTCCAGTTAAGCTTAGCTAAATAATTAAAAAATTATATTAATTATTAAAAAATAGTTAATAATAATAACTAAGACATCATTATAAGCGGGTTAAAAGCGCCATCGGCAAACGGAGTTGTCGGTCTCTGGTCGATGATGGCCACGAATATAATAATAGCGCCATCTGACGTTTTTATGTGAACTGTGATCGTGGTTCGACATTACATTTTTGAAGTAAAACTTCTTTAGGCTCGACTAGGGAGTAACTCAGATTTTTTCTGACGGAAGTAACGCTTTTTCTGACGGAAGTAACCGTAGTAGTCATAAGTATATGTCATATTTTTAAAATATGACATATACTTATGACCTTACTAAATATTTAATCATTTCAGTGATATATGCCGTCAACGCCAAAGAAGTTTTACTTCAATCGCGCGTAAACGCACACACTTTTTTTTAACGTAGAGGGCACTGTTATCGACAATTTTTTTATTGCGATCGTTGCAGTATGTCAGCGCCATTTACCGATGATCCCGTTAAAAAAAATTCTTAGTACCTATCGTACCTTCCGTGCTTTCTTCGATGCGTTTAGAGAAAACAAGAAAATTTTTAAGAGAGTGCAAATCACCGTTAAGTTGAAAAATAGCATAACCTTTATTTTGTATAGATTGTGACCCATATTACAAGATTTATGACTTATTGGTTCAATTTCAACCAACTATTATAATAACTACTAATAATTAAAACTAGTAACATATTATATAAAGGACAAGAGAAATGCGTAATCTACGTAATTTAATATACGTACTTTTATGTAGTACATTGATTTTATATTAATGCTGCATTTTCAAAATGTTACTTAAATTATAGGTAGATAAAATATATATTTGCTCTTAAGAGTTATACAGGGAGATTTTTTGAGAAGTGCCCAAATTTACACAGGAGGTTCAGACTCGGTAGTATAGTCGTTTATTGAAATAAAAAGCAAATTTTATTTCCAAAGTTCCAAAAAAAGTTCCATTCTATTCCCTAAAAAACAGAACGTGTTGACAATGTGGTAGTCATTCATAAATACCTAAATATTACTGTGCACGAACTTGTGTGCGTGTTAGTTATGAATGATCGCGCGTAAAATAAATGAGTTGCGTAAAAATCACGCATTTTTTGAGATAAGTTCAGAAGAATGTAATTAATTACTTAAGAGTGATTTTAAATATTTATAATTTTTTATATAACATTATTTATGTCTAGAATTTAATTAAAAAAATGTTTACACTTAGAAAAGCCACCCTGTATAAATGCAAGTAGCACACATTGTTAAGTAAGACATTTTTAATTATTGCGTCCATTTTGAATATGTTCAACATTTCAAGCATCCATGTTTATGTGACTTATATTGTGTCCTTTTCCAGAATTAACTGTTCACTTATAAACTTTTTCTATGTATTGTAGTGTTGTGAACGTCGAGAGTTAAAAATTTAAATTAAAGAAAATAACATCTGTAAAAAAGTTTTAAATATTTACTCTGATAATTAGTTCAAACACAAAACAATTTTGACTTCGAAAAGAACTTTCACATTTATTGAAACATTGCAGTTGTCGTAGAAAATATCGTTTTACTTAACTAAATCAAAGGTTGGAATTAGGGTGCGTATTTTGTGCTCTCAAGTAATAAAACAATCGCAATTTTTGATCAATGCAGAGTAATGTAAATTGTAATGTAAATTTAGTAGGTATTTGGAGACTATACCGAGACTATTATATTTACGGAAATGTCGCTTTATGAAGTACTTATGTATCAAGTTATTTGACGTAGTGATTGGATCAAAACATTAACTTTACTTGTATTTTCCGCGGACGTCTATATGTATTTATTTTATAATTATAAGTTTAACTTGCCGGTCTAGTATATACTATTTCTAAATATACAGTTAACAGTTCTCTATGAGGCATGTAATTTTATTTATCCGAAATTCCTTATTAAATCTTTTGTTACTTTTTTCATTAATGCGCAGGTGTTTTTCGACCTAACAAAAAATTTGTTCGGTAACGAAAAATAATGAACAAGCAGAATTTGGAGGGCGAGTTTACGAGAAAATAAGTTTTTTTTTTATGTGAAAAGTTGCCAAACGAGGAGACGGTTCACCTGATGTTAAGCGAATACCGCCGCCCATGGACATCTGCTACACCCGAGGGTGTGCAGATGCGTTGACAACCTTTTTGGACATTGGGCTCCGGCTACTTCACTCATCAGACGAAACGCGAAAGTATTATTTTTCCACTTTACGCCGGTCTTCTGTGAGGTCGTGGTACCTACTCGGACGAGCCTGCACTTTCGTGCAACAGCCGAGGCTGCTGCGTGGCCCCACCACCGTTAAGTAATATAACCGTAATAACCGTTGCCCTTTCCCACATCACGCCGGTCTTCTGTGAGGTTGTGGTACTTCCTTGGAGGGACCTGTCCATTCGTGCAACTAGCGAAGATTATGCGTGATCCTACCACTGTTAAACTATGTCTGCTTATCTTTTGCAACAGAACAACGGGGCTCAACAACTGGCCTCGGAGTCTACTGTTTCTATAATGCTGGAAGATGTCAACGATGAAATACCTCTTTTTACGGAGCGGGAGCAAGAGACGGTGCTGGAGGGCGAGCCGATCGGCACGAAGGTCACTCAAGTAAATGCGATCGATAAGGATGGAACGTTCCCGAATAATCAAGTGAGTTATTTTCAATTTTTTTATGTGAGCATGTAAGGTGGCAAAAGCGACCTGGCGGTTCACTTGATGTTAAGTGATAACCGCCGCCTTTGGACTTCTGCAATACCCATGGGGTTGCAAATGCCTTGCCACCTTTGAATAAAGTGCGCACTGGCTTTACTGCAGTCTTCTGTGAGTTCTTGGTGGCAACAGTGAACACTTGCGTGGCCCTACCACAGTTAAACATTGGACATTGCTACCACTGAACGATATAATTATCCTGTGTTGTAATAGCGCTTCACAAACTTAAAATTTATTTGCACGAAACCCAGATCCGAAAATATTATCTGTGTGCCACATAAGTACCTGTTCCGTGTGGGAATAGAAACCGCGTCTTGCGTCGCCGAGGCCAATACCTTGGCAATTGCGCCACGGAGTTATAAAGTTTTGTTTATTCTGTAATAAAACACCTTATATTTGAAAACACATAATTTGATTGGCATTTTTACGCCAATACAATGTATATTACATATTTTTGGCTTACAAAATTCCATATAACACTAAATAAAACAACACACAGTAAAAAGCGTGTTGTTTTTTAAAGGATTATTAGTTATCCGTTAGTTGTTTAAAAATTTAAAGGTACCGTAGTATATTAAATAAGTACGGAATTTAACAAATATTCAATATGATTTAAAAATTCATCGTACACTGTGTGTTCCTAGATATTTATCAACGAAAAAATACAAGCAGAAAATAGCGGCTTTAGTTTTTCTCATCTTTAATTTGTTCATAATGCATACTCGGCAAGTAGATAAACGCCTTTGTGATAAATTTTCTTTATGCGATTTGTGTCACTGTATCCTCCAACAACCAAGAAACTTAAACTAAAAACGTAAATAACCTCTTAAATTATTCGCAAAAAATGAATATTGTACGTAATAGGCAACGGGTACGTAAATTCGTGTAAAGTTGCAAGATATATTCTAAAAGACTCTCTCAAATTCTAAAAGATTCCGACCATTTTTATTTTATAATTAAAGTTTCGGTTACTACAGTTAAAAGATATTTCTAAGTAACCCATAAAATAATATTGTTGCCACGATATCAAACGGCGTTCCAAACTCGAAAACAAATTATTCATTTTACATCTCTGCACATATTCATATATCTAGCCACACGAATGCATAAAATGGGAGAAGCAGAATTCATTAATTTTACGCGAGTACGTCTGTGATTATCATAATTGTCGGATATAGACTTGCAAATTATTGTGGTGTTTTTGTATCAATAAAGCTGCTAATTTGCATGCCGGAATTGTCGGAAGTATTTTCTGTTTATGGATGCCTTGCCATTAAAAATACAATTTTATTTTGAGTACACATTTCATAATGAAGATGTCGTAGTCGTATATAAACGAGCTTACGGTATGGAAAATTTTGATTTTTAAATAGCTGTAGAAAATTTCAAGTTATTTGTGAATTTTACCCTTATTGGATATAATAAATGCTGAATACTAGGTAACATAGTTTGATACTTTGTTACGTACACGCATTAATGTTAGTAATATCGGTTCGAATTTTTCGTCTCTGAAAAGGTTTCTACAGATTAACTATTTTGGTGTTCATTAACATAATTATGGATATGATAATCTCAATAAATTGGTTTAGATTTAGTGATTGAAAAAAAGAAAGGCTTAATTGACTTGCTTTTTATGCTATATTGCTTGGTATGAAAATTCAGACGTCAGAAATGCGATTGAATTTGTATACCGATCTTATGGTCAAGATAGATTACAATTACAATTGTAATCTATCTTTGTATTACTTACGACTATGTAACTGAGGTGAGAGCCAAGCTCATATTTACATGACAGCTCCATGTTAGGTCCTGTTTGTTTTTAATAACTTACCTTTTGATAATGTTCATGTTCATTTCATATATTTGAACAGTGTACATCGTGCGAATTCGCGAAAATTAACTTCGTATCAATCTATGGCTAATGTTATTATGCAATATGCTATTCTACTATGAATTAAATATAAATATTACAGATAGATTTCTCGGAAAACGCGATAATTTGCCATCATGTTCAACGATGTGAATTTATTGTAGTAGACAGAAGGCGTAGGTCTGTGAGGTAAATATCACAAATAAATTTGGTACTTTTGTTTTAATTCTTCAAGATTGGGACTGATTACACTGTGATTACTTTAATGAACCTAACAAAGATCCGATGAGTATGGTCTAAAAATTATATTTTATGACCAAGTGACCGCAATCGTTCATAATAACTCAAAAACAATCACTATTACTAACCCTCTGTATTCTCTAAAGATACTTAAGTTACTTTAAACAATCTATGAACAATACTTTATATTCACAACTTTTTAATTTTACTACCTTTAGAATTCTTTGATAAAAGCCTTCTTTATTTACTTAGATCTTTTTAAAAAATTAATAAAAAATATGCTGTTGTCGTCATTTTGTTCGCTTTATGTTATTTCCTTTGTATTCAGTTCTTATTTGTACAGTTAACTGAAAAGATTTATTTCTGATATAAAGATTTTCAATTATAACAATATAATTATGTTTGTATTCTAAAGTTTATTCTGCTTTCGTAATACGAGAAAATAAAAGGAGATTAATGTGCCCAAAACAAAAACCTATTTCCTAAACGGGTCTAAGTCTAGATTGGATTTTATACATTGCAGCTACAACTACAATACAATTACTTTTTTCAATTATTGCGGAGTTCGTATTCGCGGTTGATTAGGTTTTGATCAAAAAAGTTATAATAGTTTTCCCGTTTTTATTGTATTCCATGGAAATAGCGAAGCCAAAAGTTTTTAATAGTTGGTTTTATCATTCGTAATTAACGTGTAGTATTGTTTTGCTGTAATCAAAGACAAAAATTATCTACTTGAACATTATTTTAATATTTCAACGTGTAGTGGTTTTTTTTTACTAGAATACTATTGTTTTAGTGGATTTGTGTAAAGTATTTGTATCGATAGAGACAGTAGGTTTAATTACCAAATAAGAATATATATGAATGAAAGATGTAATATTATGAATCTAAAAGGCTCTAAATCATTATTATTAATGTATATAAAATAATAATATAGAATAGACTAAAGTTTTGAAGCTGATCAGTTTAATTTCTTATCCCTTATTTTATACCTTAAGACATTTAAATAAATTCATATTTATTCACATAAACTGATTGTTCCGAAATTTTATTTTAATGTCTTCATTTTAATTTGATTAATTACTTCCTTTTGTTTTAAAACAATAATGAGACTCAATGGACTTTTAGTACGACTTCAATTTATTTAAAGAAAAAAGAAAGTATTAAATATCGTAAGTCGAACAATTGAGAGACTATAAATTATTGGAAAATTAAATAATGAATAAGGAATTGTGCAAAGGCCCGAATCTCTGTTGTATTGTATTTTAGGTACTTCCGGTAATTCGACAGATGGTGTCCTGCACGTATGGTGTAAGTTATTGTATTTACACCTGCGTAAATTCATTCAATGTGAAATACATTTTGCATTAAGCGTGTTAAAAATGAAATATGTATTTTTATAATTATAAATAAGTGATTGAATTTGCCCTGACACTGGGTTTTTTACTTTTTGGCGGTATTTTGTAGTAAATCAGTTCATTTTTTTATTTACTTCATTGGCGAAAACAGTAACAAAAGAATAATAAAAAAACCGTAAAGCATGCAGATACTATAGTTATTGTCTTAGTTAATATCTTACAGACAAAAAATTCGTTATTTAATGATAGATCATTTATAGTGCTCTCTAATTATTAAAGGTTTAATAATTAGAGACCACTTAATTAAACATTACAATAGTGAAAAAAGTTTCCTAAAAATATAGATATGCTGGAAAATATGAAACTTCAATTACGGTGTCGCTTTAACGACTAGTACTTGGAGGACCGAGCTTTGCTCGGTTTGTTTTTTTTTGTAAATCGTGTATTTTGGTTATTACATTTAGATACAAATTACTGAGTAATGAAATATGCATAATATTTATGCATATTTCATTACTCAATAATCTTACCGACCTAATAATAAGAAAATATGAAGTGGCGTTTTTCACAAAAGAAACAACTTAAAAAAAAAGGGAAAATAATATCAAAATCATCTGGACCAACAAAAAAAAAATACAGAAAGCAATGATCTGGAATCGAAAAAAAAGTAAAAAAAAGAGTGTAAATGATCGTGAGACGAAACACGGCCGTCTGATTTGGGGCCGCCCGATTACCGACCGAGCTATTATAACATTTTTTTAAACAGGGATAAAAGGACATTTTCTAAAAATGAAACCTAGCTAGATGGATTCGCCCCCGAATCTACGCACATACTAAATTTCTTGAAAATCGCTGGAGCCGTTTCCGAGATTCCGATTATATATATATATATATATATATATATATATATATACACAATAATTAAGGATAAGATAAAGCGACATCGTAATTGAATATCATATCATATATCGTATCATAGTCATTATCTTATTGATACAGTGTTACATTTTTTTTCGCGTACGGCGTTGTAAAAGAAACCTAATGCTTTATTTTTGCGTTGCAAGTTTCATCAATACAGACATTAATTAATCAGCCGACTAATCAGTGTGTTTCTTCTGTGAATTAATAGAATATAAGCAAGGAAACCTGCATATTAAAGAAATAAAAAAAACAGTTTGAAGATATAATATGAAATCTGCTAATATGCATTGGGGATGCGTTCACTATGGGTGTGAGTCTTATGGGCTTCTATCGGTTTATGGGCTTTATCATCAACTATTTATATCTGTAACTTTCATATACTGTAATTAAGTATGAAATTTAAGTAGTGAAAAACAATCCAAACAGTAACAAAAACAATAATGTGAATTATGATTGCGTTTGAACAATAAAAGTATAATTAATTCCATACATGTGTAGTTAATTTGTGCCGATGTTGAACATGAATATAATTGGTTGTGTCCATTATTACGCTACGATTATTTTAATTAACGTATGTGAATGATAATTAATACAGTGCTCTCAGGAAAATTTTGTTTGCATGCTAGTAGGAGGGTTACATGTAAACCTGAGAAGAAATAAAGGAAACAAGATAGATCTCCAATGTGTTCTTATTTTGCAGTTTATTCAGTTACTGCCATTTCCGGGGGAATAGTTCTTTTGAGTGCATTTCTGTTTCCACTTTAGTGTCGATCGATTTTATATCAAAAGATACGTAGAAATGTGCATGTGAACCTTTTTTTTACCAGAAACCAGTTTTATGCAAAGATTCATCTTTTAGCAAGTTTGAAAATGAGTAAACGACTGTTTGTAATTTATGGTGTTTCGTTAAATTATTCTAGTCCTAAGAGCCTTTGCAACTCAGTGGTACTACGTTACGTTATTTTAATTTATCGGAAAAGCAAAAGAGATCGTAACTTTTACGACGTTCTCTTTTACGGCTTTCAGATAGATGCGAGAGGTTTTATTTCATGTACCTATATCTACATACCGCTCTGTTTTATACGCGTATGCAGTAAAAATCAATGGGTCATTATTAGATTTCATTTTGCTAATGTTATCTTGAACCTCGGTAGCTAATTGTCGGGGTAACCCTACAAGAGTGCTATTAAAACCCTAACTGGTTTAAATTCCGGTCTCTTTACGAAAATAATCAAACCGCAGTTTAATGTGGACTTTTTTTATATTTCATGAGAGCGTTCTTTAACATAAGAAGCTGAGCTAGTTGGATCCAATTTCACGTTCTACAAAAGAATTCATAAGATTTTTGGAAAAAACTCATAAAAATAAGTTCTTAAAGTCATTCTCACCGCTTTATTGGTATCGAAAAGTCTTAAATCAATTGAAACCAATTTCTCTTCCCTGAATAAAGTAGAATGTAATTAAGATTAGCTGGACTAGAATGTTATATTAAGATGTCGAAGAAGGACTGATACTGAGTGATAATATTTAGATACTATTTCATAGTTGCTCTCCAAATAGATTATTGCGGAATTGAAGAGTAATATAGTGACAGAAATACAGATTATGAAATTCAATTTTTAAACAACATGTTTTCTAAAGACGTATTTAATGAATAGTAAAGAATTAAGAATAACGAGGGTAATACAAATGATAATGTGTATTACTTTCATTATATATGATCGTTATTAAAAGCAATTTTTAGAAACAATATTATTATTGATATTAATGTAATTTTTTAACTGGTGTTTTTAAATGATTTTCAACGAAAAAGCAGGGTAGTTGGCGGATGGAAAAGAGGTTTGATACTCTTTTCCAATGGTAGGCAGTAGTATTTAATTTAAACTGAGAAATTTAGTTATTCGTAAGTGACATATGTATCTACACTAAGTGAGACTGGTGCACTGCTGATTTACATATTATAGGCTACTTGAAATCCTCGAGGATGGTGTTGAATATTTGATGAGAGTTTAGTTGCCCGCTATATGGCGAGCTGGTAAACGTTACGGTTATTTTGAACCTAATTTACTTCAGCGTTATTTTGTTTGTTCTGCTAAAACGGTAATAATTACACTTTCATAGTTCACTCATTTAGAGTTAACGATATTTGTAAGTTCTAAAGGTCGTATATTTTATTACGCAATATCAGTATTTTCAGCATGTTTCTTTAAGCAAATAAATAAATAAATATTTTAGGACACATTCTTTTTACACAACGTTTTTTAGTCCCAAACTAAGCAACGCTTGTACTATGGGTACTAGAAAACTGATAGACATACTTAAGCATACTTTTCTTTTGTAAATAAATACACATTATACATATATAAACGCCCAGACACTAGAAAAACACTATGCTCATCACACAATATTTTTGCAGTAGTGAATGTAATCTTTTAGACTTTTGTTTGCCGACTGCCTCTATATGTTTTGTCTTGAGTTACAAGAAAAATATGTGACTAATAAGAAAGGCCAATATTTTTGGCGAAAAACATCTCGTAAGTTGTTTGATCTCTTTTTTCTTTGAAACGGCATTCGGCGAACTCATTAATGGAATTAAATTATAGGAGTTATATATTTATGGAAATAAGTTATAGCAGTTTAGCCAAAATTTAAATCAATCTTTTAATTTCAATACATACGGTTTACCTACATAAGGTTTTTAAAATTTTATAAATTTTGTCAAATTACTTTAAGCTCAAATCAACATGGAATGAAATTTGAGCTTTTAGGTTCATTATCGATTTTCCGATGAAACTAATTACAACGTTGGGGGATTTCGCGAAAGTGCATTTACATAAATTTTCACCTGCTGCGGTTGGAAATAAATATGTAAATGCCATATTACATGTTAAGGCACGCTAATTTCTAAAAGTATTTTATTAATCCCAGGTGTATTACTACATCGTGGATTCGCCGCGCAACGAGGGCAAGGACTTCTTCGAGATCAGCATGCAGACCGGCGAGATCTTCACCAAGGTGGTGTTCGACAGGGAGAAGCAGGGGGCCTACGCGCTGGAGGTGGAGGCGCGTGACGGTGCACCCTCGGCGCGGCCCAATTCCGACAATCAGCCGAATTCAGGTATGTTTGTCTCTAAATTCGATTAATTCTAACTCGCCTTCAAGGCAAGATTAAGTAGGTTTTTACTGAGCTACCGCGCTTACCATCAACGTCTACATCGCCACTTACCATCAGGTGGGATGGCAGTCAAGTGCTGGCTAGTTTTGAATTTAAAAAAAATGTCTAAATTGCTCTTCTGTGTCGAAGAGGCCAGCTCAGGTCCGATACGTAACGTTCTAACGGCCGGTTTCAATATTCGATCAACTAGCAAGAGAGAGCAAAATCTATCTTGATTACTGGAGATAGAATTTTGACGTAAGTATTATGGAGCTAATGTCAAATACCTATCGCTAGTAAAAAAAACCGGCCGTAAGTTGTAGTAAAAAAAATTGAATGCTGTCAAAACTTTTCCTGCTTTTTTTAAGTCCATGAATTAACAACGTAACAAATTCTATGTTTACTAAAAATATTTACAAAAAATCCGAACGGGAATCTCGTTATCTTAAATTTTATATCATAAAATGTACATATACAGATAGCGTAGGGTCCGAAAAAAGACTGCTGCGCTGTAAAAAAATTAAGTAGACATTTTTTTAATCAAAAAAGACTTTTCTTATATTTACCGGAACTCTACACATTAATAAATGAATGTATCTGTCTGTCCCATGACCTTGTATGCTGCGAAGCATTCGAAATGTCGGGAATTAAAATGGTTTCATTCATTAATGTCTAGTGTAGTGCTGGTGAATTTAATGTCCGTTGCAGCGTTGTCGATTGGTCATTATCTGTTATTGATCGTCGCTCTGTCAAATACCATTCTATTGTTTTTAGCGATGACATATTGAAATAGCATCCACAATAAGCCGTAACACGGTACGTATCGCGATGCGCTGCAATTGAAGCTACTTCAAATTCTGCGTTGAACACTGCGGTCGCCCGATTGGAGAGAGGTTTTAATAAGTCGGATATTTAACTTATAACTATATAGTTCGTTAGTTATAGTTCGCTGATTGGTTGAATATAATTTAGATAAATCCAACACGATAATATAATACGAACAGTGAAAAGAATTCACTAAAGTTATTTAAACGTTTTTTTAATTTTATTACTGTTATATCTGTGGATAAATAAAACTGTTATGAAATGACGGGAATTTAAATAAAAAGCGCGAAAAAATCAGTGACCTTGATTGATCTGGAAAATTTATCGTTAATGGGTTTAAAAGAGATCTGTCATATCGGATTCTACGAGATGTCACCGGATTTTGAAATAGTCGACCTCAAAAGAGCTTTTTCAAAATCACACCATAGTATTGGAAATATTCGACTACATAATACTATATTTGAATAATTGGAAGGTTTTAACTTTAATTTGGCAATCTACTTCACTTTATTTAAAAAAAATAATTTTATGCACGAATTGAATTTTTTGAATATACTATGTGGATATAATGATTGTAAATCTCAATCATGAATTCCAGATATAAATATTTTCTATTATTATTGATAGCACATTTAGTTCTGATACACTTTCGTTTGAGCAAAGATTCTCTATTTTATAAAATGATCAAAAATCTGGCGATAAGTTAGGTTATATTTGTCATAAAAATTGTTAGCCTCTTTTAAATTCTGAAATAAAATATTCCCTTAAAGCCGCCTGCCACTGATCTTAATTAATTATTATGAGTTTGATACCAAAATTTGGTACATAACTTATAAAGCATGATAAGAATGGTCATATTTTTATAAGAAATATTATTTATAAAAAGAAATATACAGGATATTTTTCACTAAATTGACCCCACCGAAAATTTATCAAAGTCAATAATTTTGGGTTATTCCTGATGCATCCAGCGTGAATGATATTTTCCTTACAATCCATATGTGAAGAAAACCGGCCAAATACCGACCGCTTACTTTATAATAGAAAGCATGATGTTCGGTAGGTACAACCTAGATGAAACCGAATATCTCATATTTGTGTGCAATGATAACTTCTTTGGGAGATTGCGTTTTGCCCATCTTCGAATTCCGATAATTTTCTTCGCAGCTTTATTTTCAAGTACCTGGAGGATCGACCTTTGCTCGTTTTTTTTGGTAAATCGTGTATTTTGGAAATTGCATTTAGATATAAATTACTGAGTAATGAAATATGCATAATAATTTTAGATCTTACTGACGTAATAATAAAAAAATATGAAGTGGTGTTTTTCACAAAAGAAAGAACTTAACTTTGAAGAAAAAATCAAAATATATCTGGATCGACAAAAAATAAAAAATAAAGAAATCAATGATCTGGAATCGAAAAAAAGGTAAAAAAATAAGTTCGTAAATGATCGTGACACGAACCACGGCCTTCAGTTTCGGGGCCGCCCGATTACCGACCGAGCTATTATAACATTTTTTTTTCGGTGAAATTTACCGTCGTATTCGAGTGATATTTTTCATTCCCTGAAAACTGGGATTAAACGACATTTTCTAAAAATGAAGCCAGATCGATTTTTCACCCCCGAATCTACGCACATACTAAATTTCATGAAAATCGCTGGAGCCGTTTCCGAGATTCCGATTATATATATACAAGAATTGCTCGTTTAAAGGTGTAAGATTAGCAACAAGACAAATATTCGGTACCTGTATATTATTGGCACACTATACTGGTCGGGCGATGTCCATTATGTTGCTTTAAATACTTTTCCGTATACGTTCAGGCGCTGTAAAACGCCAGGCACGTGAGTGACACGCTCTGCCCTCAGATGGCAGAATCTACCGACAGGGTCGCCATGTACGCAAGGTGTAGATTGTTTCGAATAAAACGCGATGACAACTTCAAAAGTAATAATTTTTATAGTATATATTATGCAATTGATTATAATGCAATAAAAATGTAGTAACCTTTTAACTGTTTAATGTTTGTTAAAAAAATTCAAAGGTTGGCAACGTACCTCCAACTCGTCAGTTGTCCAGGGGCGACGGTAATTTCGTAATATCAGGTAAATCACTTGCTCACTTGCCAATATTACACATATAAATATACATTTATATTAAAGTTATCAGGAGATATTCGTAATCTTATATTACTAATATATATAACGGTCGGGAAAACTTATATTTAAGATTTATCTTTAATAAAAGTTATTACTCACGTTTTCCCTATAAGTAGGCTGTGACATTAAACTACCAGCTATAAAGCACTAGTTCACTGAATCGTAAAAACACTTGGACAATACTACCTAAGTATATTCAAATTAAAAATAGGTAAAAAATGAAAGTTAAAACTAATTATGAGGTTTATTGTTTATTAAATTTAGGATATATTTCGTTCAACAGTGGACTTAAGCAGGCTAAAATGATGATGATGATGATATTCCGTTTAGATATTTGGATTCCAGATTATCGAACTCATAAATTAGTTAATTTTGTGGTGGTTAGGTGAAAAATTTAGATTCACTGAAATTAGTGTCATGAAAGACTTCAATGGGTGATGAAAGCTTTAGAAATCGTTCGATTAAAGGTTGACTGGGTTGCAAGGTGTCGTCTACCTATTTTTTTTTTTTTTTTTTTTTTGGTATGGGGGGGGAAATCTTCGTAAGATACCCTGTCATTATATGACAGGGTTATGTGGGGTTCTTACCCACTAAAACCCCCTCGGTGGCCACCTTCTGTACGTTTGGAGGGACTCCGGGATCTCCTACGGAACGCACCGGTGTAAGATGTCGTCTACCTAAGGCTAATCACAGTCGCGACCCGCATATAAAACGCTTTTCCGTACCCCCAAGAATTCTCGGCAGTGGAATGTTTCGTACAACGAACACTTCTATTTCGAAAATGTTCGCTCCAACTAATAAAAGCAATCGACCCTCATCGATTCGAATGCCGGCAGAGTAGGGTCTCATATTTCACGGTTGTCCACTTTACCGGTCCGATTATATCGAGTGTTTCGACACCATAAATTGTTCGTTTTCGCCGCTGTCCTGGGAGTTGCCGGGCGCTCCGTATATCGCGTCATCGTAAATCAGGCGTTGGCATAATCAAGCGCCTCGAGCTTAATCCGGTTAAGCTCTTCATCCCTTTATCGGTCTCACATGCACAATGGCGCACCGTAGATCAGACTAATGCTCACCTAGCTTGTAAGTACACGGGAACTCGCTATTATGAGTACGCACGGAATCAATACGGCACGATAAAACGGCGGACTAACTACTTCTCGCTCGTAAAATGCCGACGTTATCTTTGTTTACGTGTCGGGAGTGCGAATGTGGCGGGATTTCTCTTTCGATATCTGTTTCAAGTTTCGCTCATTTTGCTGTAACGCGTGCGTAATCAAAGATTACTGGGTTAGAAAGGTTCCGGATTATTTGGGGAGGATTTGTCCCTATACTAAAGGGACAAAACAATATAAAAACTAAGGCTACCTATTACGTATTTTTCATAGATGTGATTTTATTTTTATTTGTTAATGTTTAAATAATTACATATGCTCACAATGGAAGGTAAATTACATATTTAATTTTTACCTTCGTCACAGCAATTAACCGCGATGGAATTTGTATGAAATTACGGACGGAAACGTAAAAATAAGGTAAGTATCAAATAGTTTTTCCAATTAGTACACAAAAATTGCATAATTATGGGGACACGCCCAGGTTTGGGATCGAACTCAAAATACGGCAGAACATGGCGTCTGAGTCAATGATGAGGCGTCATTTTTTTGCTCGTTTGCATCCTTTTTCCATAAATATAAATGAGGAATGAACTCAATGCCCTTTTTTATACAGCGTGTCGTTACCATCGCGACAATAAATGAACACACATATAGGGGATAACTTTTTAAAAATGTATTAAACATTTAAATTCTTTAAACATCAATATTTACAGAGTATTAAATTTTCCAAAACAAAGAATTTTAGAACACCCTTACCTATAAAAGCATAACGTAAAGTTCATTTGTAAAGGTCACATAGCATATGAATGGGACGAATGAATTTATTAGAGATAAAACATACTATTAGAATGAGATGCTTGTAATGCGACGCTGCGGCGCGAGGTGTATAGTATGTTACAAATTTTTTTCTTTTTTTTTACTTAAAAGCATAACTTAATTAGTTTGTTTAAAAAAAATTTTTTTTAATTATGGATTTTGTTTAACGTTAATATTTTTTTATGATTATTGGCTAGTAGTAGACTTGTGTTCATTTATTGTCGCGATGGTAACGACACGCTGTATATTCTATTTCTACGACTAATATTGCTCCAAATACGCCGGTTATGTGTAGGCTGTTTCTTTATTAGTTATTGCTGTCACAACGCGTACGAGCCACGTAGCAATTTCTACATATTGCAGTACAGCAGCGAACCGAGACACGGCACGGCAGCTAGTGCGTTCGCGGTTCGCATACTAAGCATTCTATTACACGCTTGCATGCTCCAACTTATCGATTACCTCCCTTTAAGAGCAACTGTGTTTTTCTGATAACGACATTTATGACTACAAATATACTACACTTCTTTCATGAAGCGATTAATATATGGAAACTTTAGCTCTTACTAGTTTCCAATTTAGATGACTAGGTAGCACAGTTGCTAAGTTATTGTCTTCTGCGCCGGGGTTTGTGGGTCCGATTCCCACACTGGACAAGTATTTGTATTTGTTTCCTTAGGAGGATGGCAGGGGGGGGGGGGGGGGGGCAGGAGAATGATGATGACTTGTTTACAGTTTAAAAGCGATCGCTATATGGTTAATCTGCCTTTGCGACAATTAATAACAATGCCAAAACTTTTAAATACGGCATACATCAAACACTTTTCACAGACGGTTTTGAATTGCCTAATAATAATTTTATAATAATTTTTATTCCTTGCCGTGACAATGAAAGATGTAAAGTGTATCGTCGGGAATATAAAATCAAAATAAAACGCGATAAAATAGTTTCCATGCATAGTATTTGCGTAAATACAAGGAATCAATAAGAAATAAATCTAAAATAAACTGAAAGAACAAAAGCCGATCAAAATGCAAATAGTTAGAGGTAAACGAAAGGTAATTCATGAATTCATAATTAAAAATTAAAAGTTCTGGAAATAAGTATCAACGTGAAAAAGTCGTACGTGTCGGAACAAAAGTTAGATTCGTTATACTTATACACGTATGATCCGAATAAAGGTTCTGATTACAACATTTAATATTTAAGAGAAAAGAAAGTGAGGACTTTTTCGTGCTCTTTCTTGTCGCTTGGAAATTCGCGTAGAAAAACCCTCAAAATATCGGGCCAGAGCGTAATGTAAATCGGGTCACGTTTTGTCAATTATCGATAAATTTTATACATTATTCACTGTATTATTAAAGATTGGGGCCCTCGGTTGCTGACAAGCTCAAAACAATAAATTCAATAAAAATTAACGAGAAAACTTTGTCACGATTTGAAAACTGCGGTCGGCCCTTTTTTTGTTATGTAGGTTTTCCTTTATGATATCAGGATTTTTTAATTTTTCGTTTATATTGTCAAACTTTTTGTTAATAATCCACAGTGCTATTAACCGACTGAACTATATATTGTTTAAGTCATTATGGTATTTAAAGAATTTTCGATGCTATTGAATTATTAAGTGCGGTATATGGGGCATAGTGAAAGCTTATGGAATAGAAAATATATTAAAAAGATGTAATAGTTATCGAATTCAAAAATGAAGCTTGTTGTTGCAAACATGTTGAAAATTTCTTGAATTTAGTCGTAAAAATTGCTCGTAACGTTTTTTTTATGATTTTCGCTGTGGCTCAAGGCAACGATAGTTGCCAGTTGCTAGGGTTTTCAATTTGCACTTCGAGATAAAGCTCCATTTAACGGCTCCTGTATTATGATGATGCATTTGTCGCTTGAAAACCAATGGAAAGTGCATATTGGTACGTAGACAATTGCTTGCAGAGTGTTAAAAGTTTGCACCACGATAACTCGTTCGCACATTCCGCTAAGATAATATGTAAATGATGACGCATCCGCCATACGGCTTGCTCCTCATATCTAGTGACTTCTTTTTATAACCGAAAATTAAGAATAAGCAAGGAGTTACAAGACTGGAAACGGCGGTGAATGTATTGCTGGAAGCTATTGAATAAGTCCTTACAGAAAATAGGATACACTGCTTCACACAATAATTTTAAAGAAAGCAAAAATGTCTGAATATTGAAGGCATATAATTAGAAAAACAGAATATGTATCGTAAATGTAATATACTTTTTTTATTGAAAAAGGAGGCAAACGAGCAAGCGGGTAAGTTGGTAAGCGATCACCGACGCCCATGGACATTTGCAATATCTCGGCTTATGCAATAAAAACAAGAAACTTGTAGTATGACCTAAGTATTGAACATCCAAACGGAAGTATGTGCTACGTTACGTTGAGTTAATTTCATTTCGTAACAAAGTATGTTGAATTTCCGTTCAATAACATTAGTGCCTCGGGAGCGGAACGACGTTACTTCGACTCGTCTATTTCAACTATTTCCAATTACTTGGGCTTAGGAAAGCTGCGAGACGTCGCCAAGTGGCAAAGCAATATTCTAGTGGCGGATAGCGGGGACTTGGTGGCCTACATTTGTCGTAGTGCCCTCGAGAATTTCTGATGAGGACGCGCCCGGGTGCACTGCTTGTCTCGGATTACTGTCACAGACAACTAACTTCTACTGTTTGTTTCATAATCGCTACAGTCTATTGCATACCACTCTAAAAGTAGTTCGGAACTTAGTTACCGGTTTAGACACGTATTTAGAGCTGTACTGAGTTATTGCATTTAAAGCTATATTAATGTCTGTAAAGTATGTAGGACAAGTCCTAGAAAATTCGCAATAAAAAGATTTACCTCACACCCACCTTGAATCCGACTTGAATTATAGCTTCATCTGTCCTTATCCCGCTTAGATGGGATGGGGTCGGCACTACAGGTGAATCAAGTTGTTAGTGGCTAGGATTTTTACGACCGGTGGCATTTGTGAATTCAACTCTCCTTAGACAAAACACCCAGATCTGGAATAACTATCTAGATCACAGAAATATTTGCCCGTTGTGGGAATCGAACCCTCGGGACCCTCGGTGTTCAAGTAAGCTTAGCAAATGCGTCACCGAGTACCGATATCAAGAAAGTTTTTTTACGTTATATTAGTTTTCCTTTTTTGTGTCGTTTAATATAATAAGTGATAATTGCCACCGATGGACGTCAACAAACGTCTACGTCCTGATGTCTTCAATGTCGGTCTTCCCATCCGATTATAACGTAGGCGTCTTCAAGGCAAGAGTGAATAGGCTTTTACTGAGCTAGCGCGCTTACCATCCGCGGCTGCATCGCCACTTACCATCGGGTGGGATGGCAGTCAAGCGCTAGTCAGTTCCACATAAAAAAAAAATGTTTTGTAAATGCGTTTCCAACCTTTTATAAAAACGGGCCTCGGTGATCTTACTTACCCATTTCATGCTGGTCTTGTCTGATACCGTGGTACTTCCCTTTTACAATAGAATTAGTAGTTGAATATTGATTTCTTATATTTATCGAGAGAAGTTTTTTTTAATGTGAGCGAGGCGGTGGTTCACGTGATGTTAAGTGATAACCACGCCCCACGGATCAAAATCAAAATCAAAATCAATTTGCGACACCCAGGTTTGCAGATGCGTTGCCACCTTTTAATAAAGTGGGTCCCAGCTATCTCACTCACTAGACGTCAGAAACATACTACGTTTCACCACGTACCGGGCAGGTGTTCCCGACTTAATGATAGAAGCGTTGCTGGAGTTCCTTCCGAGGTTTCGTACCGAAGTTCAGGCTAGGCCGGTCATCTCAAGTCCAGCGGATCTGTAAAGGTAGTGGCCTTCAACAGTGGTATAAGAAAACTATCTCACTTACCAGACGAAACGCAGAAGTATTACACTTCCACTTCACGCCGGTCATGTGTAAGGTCGTGGTACTTACCCGGACGGACTGTTTACTTGGTGTATTTAACTGTGGTAGAGTCACAGTGAAGACTGTTGCACAAATGGGCAGGTGAGTGAAGTAATCTTGACCCACTTAAGTAAAAGGTGGTAGGTAATCTTAATGATAAATTAAATTGTGATTATCTTAACATCATGTGAACCACCAGCTCGCTTGCCATCCCATTACAAAAAAAGTGTCACCGTTTGTATTATGGTTATCTTGGTCAAAATATATAAAACGGTATCAGAGCACTGCAATCTTCTGGGAATAAAGTCGTGTTTTAAGATCTCAAGAGTATAAACAGGACGTTTATGTATATTTTATTTCAAAATTAATATTCCAATATTAATGTAATATCTCTTTTTCTATTCATTCAACCACCCATCTATACATATCTGTTCAATTTGACGTTTCATAAGAACGCGCAAGCGTCTATGTGAATAAAGATATTTTATTATTATTATTAATTTTATGGAGTAAGAGCAATTTTTATCATCAATGCAGAGTATTATATATTCGCAGCGTATTCCCCATCCTCATTTTTTTCTAAAGGCTATAAAATTGACTTTTGTAATGGTATTCCTTTTCAATTTTAAGGCTTTTCGGTAAATGAAAGGCAATTTGTAAGCATAGGGCCGGGGAGACGTTTTGAAAGGTTGTAAATAGCGACTCGGGAGGGGAAATTTCCTTAAAGTACCAACCTGACAAAAGCATTTATAAGTGTCATAAGGTTAAGGAAGCTTTCGCCAGAGGCGCTATAAAATCACTTAACGAGTAATGTTAGTCGGATTAACGCCGTCATTATGTTCTTTTGTATTACTCTTCTCCTATAACATTTTTTGTAGAATTAAGTATTCATTGGTCCTCTAAGTATTATCATACCTTATATAATATTAATTTGATAGGCGAACTAATTGCATTATTTGCTTTTGTATATTATTACTATAATATCATTTAACATTTCAGTATTCGCATTCTGCTATTATATAGACAACTGTATATGTTCTTAAAATTGTTCTCAATTTTAAGTATTGCGTTTTGCGTAATATTTTTTTTTGAATTTGTTCGTTTGTGTTGGCAAGACTAAAAGAAGTGTCATTCTATGAGAAAAAAATGAAGGTGCACGAAGCATTTCATGGTCTTCTTCTCTGGCTGTCAACAAGAAGTATACGCGATAGCGCTGCCCAATCGGTATCACAAATTAAATCGTTAGAGTGGTGTTTCATTAGTGATCTAAAAGTGATAAAATAAGTTATACCAGTGTCATTGTGCAAAGTGAAACTACGGTGATTTGGTAAAAGTATTTATATTTCTACCTTCTTAGCTCGATAAAACAAAGTAAAGCTAACATTTGCAAATAAGATTCCTAATTTTGGTTGGTCATTGTTCTGGAATATTCCGTAGGCCTACGTCGTAACTGCCGTTTTCTAGGCTTCTATTTGACTTGCACAATCGTTGCCATTTTCTTTCGTAATGGAAGCGTTATTTTAAATTAAATAATAAATTACTGCGACGGTATCATCTTGATGAAATACGATAATCATCGTATAAGAGTTCTAACGATTTTACGATTTTTCAAGTGACCGCTGCTCCATCCGACCATGTGTCCCTTGGCTCGAGTAGATAACGTCATATCTGGTAAACAGTGTTGCCAGCGCCAACAATCGAATAATTTTTTATATTTTTTTTATATTAATTCAAAAAGTTCCATGGTATAATATAACAAATACTATTATGTATTATGTTTTTCTTAGGTAAGACAAGAAGAAATATGCGATATAATATGTAATAGATCTATAAACGTTATATTTCTACTTAATTGAGAAGCGTTCAGAAGTTATAATTCTTATTGCATTATGAATATTTACTACTAAAACTGATATTTAATGTTTATTCTGTTCGTATTTAATCTCAGTAGAAAATTAGCAAAGACTGAAGTGGGTAATACTACATACACAAGCCCCTTAATTTAAAGCTCTAAACTAATTACGGGCAGTATTAAGTGCATCATAATTGATAAAAGTTTTACGTAGAAAGTGGTTAGGTTTGTGTTAAATATGTTTTTATTAAAATTAACAGTTATTTTAAGGTAACTTTAATTTTAAGCAATAAATTTAACAACAATACATATACAGCGTGTCGTTACAACCGCGACAATAAATGAACTTCTTGCCAATAATCATAAAAAAAATTTAAACTTTAAAAAAACCATAATAAAAAATATTTTTCAAACAAACTAATTAAATAAAAAAGAAACAAAATTTGTAACATCTTCTGATTCATACATTCGGAGACTTCTCTCCTTCTAATAGTATGTTTTATCTCTTTTAAATTCATTCAAACCATTCATATGCTTTGTGACCTTTACAAATTAACTTTACGTTACAGGTTTATACGTAAGGATGTTCTAAAATTGTTTGTTTTGAAAAATTTAATAACTCAGTTGTAACGACACGCTGTATAAAGCGAAATAATTTGTTTTTCAAAAACCCACGACGGTTTAAAAGTAATTGAAAAACGATAAAATAGGTAATTAAAAACCCGACTTAAAAATAAAAGTAACGCGAGATAATAAACGTAAAAAGAATTAATAATTTGAGTTGATCTCCCGCGGAGTCGTTCCCTACGTACCTACCTATTTGGTACCCGATAATTGTAGATGTGGCAATAACATATTCAACTACATAAATTATAAACTTAATAAAAAACCTAAGAATATCGGTTACGGGGCTGCTGGCCTAGCCTGAACTTCGGTTACGGGTGACTACGCTCGAGGGAGCCTCGGCTCGGGTCGTCACACTTTTATTTCTTTCACGGTTTGGGAGGCCGCCGAGCTCTTAGGTCGCTTTAGCGGACGCTCCATGGAGAGACTAGGCCCAAGGGCCCCCGAGAGGGGGACCATGGCTTGGGCTGTCACTCGATGCCCGTTTAGCATTCCGATTCGAGGGTGCCTGAGGGCCGGACCACGGCTCGATCGGTAGCTGAAGTCACGACTAGTCCGTGCAAGTTTTCTTCCCCTCTCTTTTAATTCAATAATAAAAGTAGCTATGTTGAACACTGTGAATATTTGAATAATTCAAATTATCCCTAACCACAGGGTTGCACTGCACATTAAATTGTTTCAAATCGGAGTCATTGTCACGCTTTGGGTTTTATTGTTACGGTTATTGCCCAAGTTCCCACCGAGGAGCGTTTTACCTGACCCGGCAGGTAAAATCAAGTGGCGATTAGTTTTAAATGTTTTGATTATTAATGGAAGGTCGGCCACGAATATTACACTCCAAGTTTTGCTGGGATTTTGTAAGTGGTAAATATAATATGTGTTTCGGATATATCGCTGTGCCGTCATTATTTTCACCCGTTTTCCATTCCATATGCGAGTAATGTTGAAAAAGTAAAGATTTTTATAGTGTAAGTACAATATATCTTTATTTTGGCACCATCGTTTTCAACAGCTATCTTTAGGCTTAATTAAGTCTGTATTCAAACAAAAGATTGTTTACGTTATGCTTTTTAAAAGAGTGTTTCGAGACATTGCAGTTGTTTTTAATACCAGCTGAAAATATCCGCAAAATCGGTGTTCAAATATCTTAAAATGTATAAATGCCTTATATTGCTTTCGGTTGCATTTAAATTAATACTTTAATATTTTTTTTCAAGACAAACTATGTTCGCCTTACGACTATTCATTGCGGTATTTTACTGTACGTAGCACTGATAAAATATCATTCCATTGCTTCTTTTCACTGAGTTTCCGAGAAATATGAAATATAAAAGCTTTTGCGCAAGCTAAAACAAAGTGTAAGCAAAGCTGTTCGAGCTTAAGCAAGTATCAAGAAGCTCAGTATGAAATTAGAAATATCAAGTTCAAAGTGGTTACGGCTTTTCCGTTGTTTTCATTTTTGCATTTTATTTAGTTCCAAACTAATGAAATCTTGTACGTGTTATTATACAAATACTAGGTATCTGAACTAAACATACTTAGATTTATTTAATAACCACCCAGACATAATGAACAAAATACTATGTTAATTACGCAATATTTTTTCAATATCACTATCCACTACGCCAATTGAGTCGTAAATTCAGTCCAAACTATAATAAAAAAAGTTTAAACTTTTAGTATATTAATAATTAATTATTAAAAGATTATAACTTTTTGTTATTAAATTTTATCTTCTCTTTTAAAACGTTATTTTATGTCGTAGACGAAAAAAGTGCACGATCTAATGCCGCTCGAAATTGAAACGAGAGCGTGTACTTTTGGTAAGTTCATTTAAAATAGATTTTTATAGAATCGCATACTTTTTTTTATTATCTTTAGTAAACGTTGTAGGTTTGATCAATGTTGATATAGATTCTCTGTTACAATTTCAACGCAAAACTCCTGCTGCGTGGAGATTTGTGAGATTCAGTCGTCAGTAGCACGTAAGTTTAATTAAAACGGGACGTCCGGCCATCCGGGCGGGGTCTCGCTTGCCTTCCGCCGGCGGACAGTTCAATAAGCTGCCCTAATTAAAACACTAATAATAATTAATTCGTTCGAGAGACGTAAAAGGTTAAATCGTACGGTTCCCTGCTACGTCTACGATTCCTCGCAGCCGTTAACGCCCTGAAATTAATTCCTTCCTATCGACTTGATTAACCGAATTTATGAAAGCATCGCCGTTAGTTACCTTACAGCTTTTCAATTTGTTTTCACCTGTTTTGTAGGGATTTAATGATTTAAAATGGCAGTACACAGTATAACAGATCAAGTAGATGATCAAAAAGGTACATTAAACGGGTAGCGAAACAGATTAGTGTCAAGTGCATAGAAGAGAATTTTAAAAGCACTAGAAATCTTGATTAAAATTCGTTCTGCTTATATTGAATCTGGATTT